AGTAAAGCACAAGGACCCCCATGAATTTCAATTTGATGGATTTAGAAGTATCTTCCAAATCATCCTCATTATACTTATTAAGAACATAAACTCATTGGAAAAAAAGAACTAGTTTATCAACGACGACAGAGAAAATTCAGGAAAATCAGATGAAAGAAAAAGTTAGTTACTTGGTTGGAGATTATAGAATATATACCATAGCATCCCATCTCTTCTTTGCAGCAGCCATATCTCTCATTTGCTTCAACTCAAAATCTTCTGCACCAGCTTGCATTCGAATAACCCCACATTGCTAAATTCACCAAAAAAAGAAAACAAAAAACAATGAAAAAAAGCAACAATAAAGTAGAAAAACGAAATCCCATTGAATTAAAAGGTTGGAAAAGTAGAAGGAAAGCATTACAAAACGTTGATTAGTAGAGGTGGATCGACGTCTGAAAGTAGATATCCTTGAACTTGAAGAATTCAAAGAAGTAGCTTTTCGCTCATTAAGGCGCGAGATGGTTGAAGCATTGAGAGAAGGAAGGGTCAGAGAAGCCATGATTATGATATATTCTTTGTCTAAAAATGGATATTTTTATCAGATGAATTTTGCTTTATCTTTTCTGGGGATTGCTATTCGATTTTATCTCTCGGGATGATATCGGAAAATCCACCTGTCACAATTCACAGCGGTCGCAGTCGGAGAAAGCAGCTTCACACACCCGGTAAACGACGTCGTTTCTTTTCTTTTTTGTTTTAAGGCATCGTACTCTCTCCATCACATTTTTTTCTTTCTTCTTTTTTAATGTCCTAAAATTATGTCATGTTTCTTTTAAAATTTTTTACATTTTAACATTTCAAAAATATTAATTTTTTATTTTTTGATATTAAAAGTCATAGGATATCCATTTTATAAAGAAATTAAAGTTTAATCTTAAATACACTAAAATCAATTTTTTTCTTAAACTTTACAAAAATCAAAAAGAACAAACAATTTAAGAAGAAAGAGTACTATATTCCAATTCAATAAATTTACTTTTTTTATCTCAATTTTAACAAAATTTAATTCTTACACTTTTATTATAAATCAGTTTAAAAATAATTACCAACAGTGTTAAGAGTTTATCATTAATTTGGATTATATAACATTTTGGTGACATCATGGTGTGATGAGACAAATTAATTTTTTTTAACACGTCCTAAGTATGAGTCTAAAAAATTATATTTGATTTTAATTAAATAATAACTAATATCTTTAAATTTTAAAAATAATTTTTAATATTTTTATTAAAAAAATTTTTATATTAATATAATCAAATTAACATATCACATCATCAATAAAAAAATCATGTAATAAAAATTTTAAAAAATTCAACACCGTTCTCAATTGTCTCTTTTAATAAAAATATTTAGGTTAGGATCATTAATATTGGAATAGAGCGACTAAAACGGTGGAATTGAAATAGTAAAATTGAAGTTAAAACCACTTGCAAGTTGGCCCGACAGCAAGATCACCTTTCTTAATACTATTTTTTTTTAATCTTATTAGTAATATGTTTTCATATGTTTTTGAGGGAAATAATTTTCTGCATCTGTACTTTAACACGAGATGTGATTGTAAAACAAAATTATAATAATTTATCAAAAATTTGTTGAGTGCTATCACAGTTTTATTTACGTAAAATCAACTATGTAAGCAAATTGAATGAAAAGCATTGGTTTTATTATTTGATAATAATGAGTTTTCGACTAGTACTTTGTTGCGGGAGTTATTAATTAATATAATTTGAAGATTATTCTAAATAATTATATAATTTTATAATAATATATATTTTATCGATAAATTGAATAATAAAGTAATTAAAAACAATGTATGAATAAATGTTGTTTGTTATTGATGTTAACAACATTTTGTGAAAAATAATAATAATTGTAAGTAACGTTGAAATACATTTTTTTATCTAGAATATAAGTTTAAGAAATTGTTAATATAGATTTAAATAAAATTCAAACCATAAAAAAAATTGCTCAAAAAATACGAAATTTGTACAGGAAGTTCTGAAATTGCATTCTTGCAATTGAAGATGAAGTTTATACAAAATTGGCAAAAACTTACTAAATGTTGTTTGAGTGTTCATATCATTTGGGCAACAATTTGTGAACTAATTTTTGCATTTGCAAACCATTTTGTCCAAAAAAAAAAACTGCAATTGTAATTGGTCTAAAGAAGTATATAATATATACGATGCTTGAGACAGTGATGTGCGGTTTGGCAATATTTTGATCCAGGTGAGATAATCGGTAAACTTTGTCTAAATCACCTCCTAGTAATATTATTTTCCCACCAAAAATTCTGTCCAAATTTTCAAAATAATCAATTATTCATTATGTTTTGAAATTGTCTTTTAATGAGCATTAGTCATTGCATGCAAACAATTTGGACACAAAAACTAACAAAAAAAATTTTTAACTTACGAATTCTTTAAAAGAAATATGAAGTTAAAAGAAGAAAAAGCAAATGACAGGAGGAAAATTTTAAGAGTGAATATTATAAATTAAAAAAATTATTGAAAAGTGATAAAAAATGAAAATTTATTAAACATATAATTAAAGAAGTGAGAAAATATGTTATTTTATTTTTTATTTTTTATTTTTACATATTTTTAATAAAAAATGAAATAATTAGTTTAAAATTAATAGGGATGTAGAAGCGAGAAAAAATAAATATTTATTAAAAATAAGAGAGTAAATAAATATTTTATTAATTATCTTAAATTTTATATACTTAATTGTATTATAATTATAAAAATATGAGATCTTTCCAAAGGATGGTCTCACTCATCGGTCGGCTTGTGTCAAAACACAATGAGATAAACCTCATAACATCAAAACAAAGAAAAATATATATATCAAATCAAAATCACCCAAAAACACAATCATTAATTAGACTCTAACACTAAAAAAATATATCACAACTAAAATTAACATAATCAAAAATAAAAAAGAATAATCATAAGTGGACGGTCAATAAGGTTGTCTTAGTGAACAAAAGAGGACTTCCTAATATAATTTTGAAATTCCAAATTCAAATCTTATAATGTATGAATTTGATCTGATTTTAAGCTAAATTTATTAATTGATTGGTTAAGTTTAATTTTATTAATTTCTTACATAAGATGTGATACTTAGTTGTGATTTTGAATTTATCAACCCCTAATAACATTTTTCTGGTGAGATTTTCCATGTGAGACAGTGAGAGTGTCTATTTTGAATTATATGGTTTGGTTGGTTTTGTGGTATTTTGAAATACCTTACAGCTTAGGAAGGTAAATATGTTTGGGGATAGTAATGCTGTTGGGTTTCCTTGAGGTACTCTTTGTTTTGGGGTTTATGGAAAACATGAAAAACCACAGTGAATACTTGGTTACCATAGTTCAAACATGAATTTCCTTGTTCTTTTTTGGTCTGAAAGGCACATTTTGCTTTTGACAGGATTAAGAAAACCAAACTCAAATGCCTCATGAACAATATTGAATAAATCTGCATGGATTGGACCACTTGTCTCACGTTTCCTTTTATCCTTTTCTTTATTATTATTATTTTTTTTTGAAAGTTATATGCTAGTAGAGATTTCTTACCAAGCCAAACTGAATTGCAAAATAGTTCTAAAGCCATTTTTTTTTCTTTGCTTTAGTTTCCCTATTCTTTTCTCCATTTCTATTCTCTCTGAGCCTACAATACATACTCTTTGGGTACAACACAAACTCTCTCCCTTGCTTGTTAAGTTTGAGAAGATTTAATTAATTAATAACTTTTTACTTCCAAATAGTTAAATTCTATTTTTTTCTTTCAGTAAAAGTAACTTTGTACTCAATTTTATATCTCTTAATTTACTTTTTGATTAGAGAATTTGAATCCAACCCTTTGACTAGGGAATAAATGCATTTAACATTTAATCAAATGATCAGATGTATCAATTAATATACTTATATTATATACAAAAACAAAATTAATGTACTTAAGCTATTTATGAAAGAATTTACTAATTCCTGCAAGTACTTAAAATTCAGTAAGTTTACATGTTTAATGTCTCTTCTCATCGACGCAACATTGTTAAAAACTCAACGTTGGACTTTAATCGGCATTTAAAGATCATAAATGCGGTTGCAAATTTTAAACAAATTATGTAATTTAATTGTTGGATTATAAGTGAATACCGTTTACTCTTAGTAAAAAGTTAGACTGGTTGTATTACTATACTAAGAAGCAATTAATGATTTCCTACTTTTAAGTTTTGTTAGGAAATTTGTGTTTCCATGTGAATTATAAAAATATAGCAAACGAACAAAGCATGAACAACTAATTAAATTTAATGTACGTATAGATCTTACCCAAAATAAAAGTGACTAACAGAATTAGATTAAACATTGTAATCAATTAACTTTACATTAAAATTAGATATTTAAAGGTATAATGTCATAAACTGAGAAGAGGAAACAGTTCATTACTTTGTAAATTTGTTATAAAGAGATAATTTTGTATATATGGTTAGAAGATAGAAGAGATTGAAATTTGTTCAAGATATTGTAGTTGGCTAGGTTTTTATGGTGTTTAATGAGTGAGACATTATAAAAAGGCATATAGATTTCTGGACCATCAGCTTGATTTATGTTTAAATTTAAAATTTTTTATTCAAATTCTAAAATAGATTGAGAGAAATTTCTGAGATCTCTCATTATGTAACTTAAAGTTTTTATAAAAGAGAGAGAGAGAGAGAGAGAGAGAGAGAGAATAAGCTGTGCATGGTTTGCCCTAATGAAGAAAATGTCTAATATACCAAGTGGAATATGAAAAATGTTTAGGGAAGCACAGGGAAGATGTATGTTTTTATCTTATAATTAAAATGATTTCCTTTAGCTCCTCCGACATTAATTCGAAATTACACAACAATATTCTACCCTTCGACGAGGGCATCGTTGATTGCATGTTTTAAGACATTTTCGTTGTGTCTTTATCATTCAGTCTAGCCCTTCTCTATGATCAATTTCTATTCAAAGAAGGGAATACAATTATTGGTAAGTTGCGTCCTTGCCCCACCATAGGCAGAATGAAAGCTCTATTACAATCATATATTAAATTTGCATTCAAAGAAGGGAATACAATCATTGGTAAGTTGCAGCCTTGCCCCCACCATTGGTAGAATGAAAGCTCCATTAAAATCATATATTAAATACGCACGTTAGTCAGGGGTAGAAACATTAACAAATGTCAATCACTTCGCCAAGTAAATTTCTACTGTTAATTAATGAATTTCTTTCTCTCCAAAGTCATCACCATCGATCACACCATGAATTTTCTACTTATCTTGACGCTCTTAATGATTGCTATGGCACCTCTGGTGTTGCTGATCAATCAGGAAAAGAAGAAAGTTCGAGCGAGAAGGCTTCCTCCTGGCCCGTGGAAGATACCTGTTATAGGGAACCTACACCAGCTAGGTTACTTACCCCATAAGTCGATTCAACGACTTTCGCAAAAATATGGATCGCTCATGTTTTTGCAACTAGGGTCCGCGCCAACTCTTATTGTCTCTTCGGCAGATGCGGCAAGGGCGATCTTCAAAGCCCATGATGTTGTTTTTTCAGGTAGACCAGCTGATTTATATGTTGCAAGGAAGTTTAGTTATAATTTGAACAGTATATCTTTTGCTCCCTATGGAGCGTTTTGGAGGGAGATAAGGAAGATAGCGATATTAGAACTCCTTAGTTCAAGGAGGGTCCAATCATTCCGGGCCGTGAGGGATGAAGAGGTAGCATTTATGCTAACTCATATAGCTCGCTCGTCAGGCCCCGTAAATCTTAATAAACTATCACTTGTGTTAACAAATAACGTTGTATGTCGCGTGGCTTTTGGTAAAAGATATGGAGGAAATGATGGTACAAGCAGATTCGACGCCCTCATGCATGAAACACAAGTCCTCTTGGGGGAATTTCCTTTATCAGATTTCTTTCCATGGATGCGGTGGCTCAACAAGTTTAATGGCCTGGAAGCAAGAGTGGAGAGGAACTTCAGAGAACTAGATGAGTTTTATGACGAAGTGATAGAGGAACATATTGATCCAACAAGGCTTAAATTAGATAACCATGCAGATATTGTCGATGTACTTATCCGAATACAAAAGGATCCAAGTCAAGGGATTACGCTTAGCAATCAACAAATTAAGGGTATCCTCACGGTATGCTAAATACATTTTTTTTTTTCAATCTTGTTTTCTTTCTTTCGCTCTTTTTACATACTTTGGTACATAATTCTTTTTAGAGATTGGACTCTGAAAACAAACTACATATTACATATTTCAGGACATGTTCTTTGCGGGACTGATACCACTGCATCTACTCTTGTTTGGACCTTAACCGAGTTGATCAGAAATCCATCGTTGATGGAAAGAGCACAAGCTGAGGTACGAGAAGTTGCTAAGGGAAGAGGGAAAGTCGAAGAAAGTGACCTTCCTAAACTGTTTTCCCTAGAATTAATTATAAAGGAGGCACTTAGGCTCCACCCACCAGCCCCTCTATTGGTCCCCCGAGAAACCACGGAGGATTGTACGGTTGGAGATTACACAATTCCAGTCAAAACAAGGGTGCTTGTGGATGTAAGATCAATAGGAACAGACTCGAAATATTGGGAGAATCCAAATGAGTTTCGACCTGATAGATTCTTGAATAGCTCAATTGATTTCAGCGGGCAACATTTCGAGTTTTTACCATTCGGGGTAGGCCGAAGGGGTTGTCCTGGATCAAGTTTCGCTATCTTGCTTGTTCAACTTGCACTCGCGAATCTTCTGCATCGCTTTGACTGGCAATTGCCTGATGGAATGAGCACAGAGGACGTGGATATGGAAGAAGAGTTCGGGCTTACAATGTTCAAGAAAACTCCTCTTTGTCTCGTAGCTAGGACAGTGGGTGAATGGTGATAGATCATGTATGGTAATTTCTCATTCAATATTTCATGTCGTCCCCCAAAATAAACATTTATCCATATGATTCTTGTTTTATTTTATTGTTAGATTTTGTGGAAAGAGCAGCTAAGTGAATTGAGCTTCCAACCATTCACACTCGTAATACTTGATGGTTCGAATAATTCAATATGTCACTATCTCTTGCCTACTAGAATTCGGCCCCTCTAAACACTCCCTTGATAATAGAATGAAAGATCATAAGCTAATGATATATTAAATTAAAAGTTTTTCTTTGAGAAAGAGAGAAGGGTGGTCATAGAGATGGGAATGTACCAAGTGTAAAAAAACATAAGTGAGGAGAGAATTTTGGAAACAAATGTCTTTTGCAGCAATTACCCAACATGCCAATTTTGCATCCAAGGAGGGGAAACCCTTGAATCCCCAAAGAAGTGGATCATCGAAGTTGCAAAGCAGCAGAATGTGAATTGCTAACATTGAGTAAGTGTAATCCCATTAATATCACTTCGTAAATAACAAAGAATCAAGTAAAAGAGGAGAAAGAAAAAGGATCTAAGAGTACTACCCACGTACATATGTGGTTGCTAACAACGAGAAGTGGTATGCCAAGACGTCGCGGGCAAGACGATTGACGGTATCAATATTATGAACGGAGATGGTGTTGAGAAGAGAGGCTACCGCCTCTACAACCAACGATTTATTGAAATAAACAAAACAGAATTAAAAACATCAGGCAACACAATAAATCTGAAATTTTATTTTAAAAGTCACCAGCAATAAACAGATCTCAAAGTATTTCTATCTGCAAAGCAAAACTTATATGTATTTTCCACACTTTTTCATATGTTAATTTAAAAAGAAAATATGTAATGACATTTAACAAGGGATCAGACAAGAAAGAAAAATCTACCACTTAAAAGATATTAAAATTACTTAGTGGCTTGAATAATTTAATATGTCAGTATCTATTGCCCACTGGAATTCGGTACCCCAATGATGGAGTGAGAGATTTGTTTGGAGGACAAAAATAATATCTATAAAATAATCATATTAAAAATTCAATATTTATAAAAATAAAATTTAAAAAATTAAAGACAAATTATAAAATTTTTTAGGATGGCACCTACTAGCCCTCTCTACTCCTCCTCACGTCCCCCACACCTCCAATCCCAAAAAGAGTCCAAAAAAAATATAAACCTTTTTTTATCTCAACTTCAACTTCTCTAATAGTAAAAGCTCAAATACTTAAATAAACCTTTAAACTATATCACAAGTCAATTTAGTCTTTATTTTTTATTATATTTAAATAAACTCTTGAACTTTTATTTTGATCAAATAAGCTCATCTTACTAGTTTGGTTAACTTCTATTAATCAATAGTACATCTAATAATTTTTATACCATGTTATTTGTCATGTGACATGTAACATGTCATCTTGATAAAGTCAATGCCACGTAACATTTAACTTGGGATCAAAAATTGCTAGTTTGGAATTGAGTTTTATTTTCAAATGTCAAAAATTATTGATTATTGATTTAAAACAAAAAAATTAAAAAAACCTAATTTTCTAATTACCAGCTTTTCTTATTTGATTGCCATCCATCTTTCCTAACAAAAAAAAACATTAATCCAACCTTTCTAATTTATGAAGCCTTTGTTACTCGACTGAAATTTGGTGTAAAGAAATCTGAAGATACCTAAAATAGAAAGAGTTAAGATAGGAAATAACGTTTATAATACTAAAATAGCAAACACACATAATGTTGATCTATAATAAAAGAAAATCAAATCCTTTCTCTTCTCTTTCCTAGAATTTGTAGAAATTTGATGTTTCTCTTCCTTAGAATTTGTAAGAGAATTTGATGGTATTGAATTTATTTATTAATAATAATAGATTCTCTTCCACATCTTCACAAATTATAAAAATTTAAGACTACTCAAATAACAATTTTCAAAGAAAAAAAAATTGCAAATAGGAAGAGGACATTCTGACTATAAGGTACATTGAGTTAGAAAAATTGAAGAAGTGAAGGTTTTTTTAGGAAGGATGGCTTTAAGAACATGGTAATTAGTTAATAACAATAGTAATCAATTCGAAGAAATTAGTTTTTTTTCAATTTTTTTTCAAATTTTTAATAAATAATTTTTCAAATGTCAATAATTTTTCATGTCATCATTTACCACATGACATTGATGTCATTAAGATAATATTTCAACATGTCATGTAAAAAAGACTTAACATAAAAAATTATTGATTATATCGTTGACAATAGAAGTTAGTCAAGAATTAATGTTAAAGTTTATTTGACTTAAAATAAAATAAAAAAAGTTTATTTGAATATAATAAAAAAATAAAGATTAAATTAACTTTTTAAATATAATTTCAAGACTTATTATGTATTTAGCCAATAATAAAATATCGTTTAAATTGAACAAAATACAAGCACTTACATATTCAAATTCATCACAATGTGAATCTCAATTAAACTGAAAATAGAAAAAAAAAAAAGAAATTAGAAAGCTATTTTATCTAGGGGAGAGCAGGCGTCGTTGGAACCGCCCAACCGACCGCAACCGTCGGTTATTGTAACCGACGGTTGTTTTTGCAACCGTCGGTTGTGCCGATTGGCTCGTCGCGACTGATCACGTCGGCGTCAGGGGAATCCGTTCCCCCAATCGATTGAAAAACCGAGCCCCCGGCTACCCGACGACTACCCCGCCCGCTACCCCGGCTACCCATGCGCCGCCTCTTACTATTTCCCCCCGACCCCCCCCCTCGACGGACGACTTGATTCCCCCGGCTCCCCCTCCCATCCTCACCGATTCCCCGCCCCCCCTCCCATGAGTCCCGATTCTCCCCTGCCCCCTCCCACGAGTCCGATTCCCCCTGCCGGCCTGTGCTGCCCCCTCCCAGTCCCACGAGTCATTTTAGCCATTAATCTTTGACATTTTAGTCCAAATCAACCTAAGTGAACCCATTGATCTTATCATAAAAAATCGACAGAAACGACCGAAACCGACATTAAAAAACCGACCGAACCCGACTTTATACTATAAGCGGTTCGGTCGGTTATATCTCAAAAATTTTTAGTCGGTTTTTCGTCAAAACCGATCGAAACCGACCGAACCGACCAATGCACACCCCTAATTTTATCTGTCAACAACTCTTGACGAACTTGCATTCTGTAGGCAATCTGTCTCCATGTATTAGAATATCCACATCAAATGCATAATAATTGATAAGCCATATTAGCATATATAAATAAATAAACAAAAAGCCTGCTTTATTTTGATCATAAAAGGACAAAGAGAAGGACCCTCAATCTGCCTTTTAGGGAGCATACACAGGAGAATAACTGTTAACTGGTGCAAATGGTTCGGTCATGATTAATTAAATTAAGAGTTAATTAAGATACCAGGAGTTGAGTAGGAGAATCATGAGGAGATTTTGGCTATGGAGAAGCATTGGGACAAGTTGCAAAGAAAGGATTGTTGCCGCAATCCTAAGCAATCATAATTTTATTTAGGGATGCAGCATTAGCCAAAAAGGAAAAAAGAAACACATCAATCATACCTCTATAAAAGATTATAAGAAGACAAAGAAAATAAAGGGTCCAATTAATCTTGATATAATTATAAAGAAATCCCTGTTGATTGTATTTACATGTGGGGTGCTCCACCAGTGAGCCTCGAATCTACAAGGAGCATCTAATCAACCTCTTCAGAACTTTTATTGCTTTCTTATTCTCTTTTCTAATGCTTATAAAATAAAAACTTAAATTTTTTATATAAAAATACATTAAAGTTATTTTTTTTTCAAATTTCCATGAAAATCAAATAAAAGAAAAACAATTTAGATGGAATGAGTACTATATAAGATCAATTAGTTACAGCATGTCGTTTAGAAATTTCAATTTTTTTTTTGGATGAAGAGAAGGGTGAGATTTAAATTTAATTTTTTGAGTACGAAAATATACATTTGTATATTTTTTGGAATGATATATATTTATATTTTATTTATATATAATTTAACTACATACTCATGTCCAGAAAAGTGCACGTTTTTAGCTAGTTTCATTGGTGGAGATGATGTCAACAAATTTAGCAGTTCTAAAGAAACTTTAGACCTAATTTGATAAATTATTATATTTGTTCTTATCATTTCGTCCCATAATTATGCCCCAATCATTTTTCGAACACTTAATGTTTTGACCTTTTTTATATTTCAAAATTATTTTCATCATTTTATGGGTTACTTTTGGTATTAAAAGTAATGGAGCATCGATTTTATAAAAAAAATTTAAAATTTTAATATATAATATATTAAAATTTATTTTTTCTAAACTCTGTTAAGGTCAAATAAAGACAATAAATTTGAAACAAAATGTGCTAGATAAGATCAACCAATGGTCAGAGCAACTCATTTTAGAAGTCTCTTTTTTATATAAAATGAGATTAAATATAATTTTTTAGATATCAATATATATATATATATATTTATCATTAAACTAAATATTTATACATATAAAAATTCATGCTTTTAGCCGACTTCGTTGACGAAGATATGTTGTGACAACAAATTTAGTGGTTGTAAAGAAGCTTTAGGCTTAATTTTATAAATTGTTTTTTTTGTTGTTTAGTTTTTGTTACTGTATATCTTTTGCTATAACTAAGAGCAAAACTAAATCATAATTGATTAGATAATTGCAGTAATATCAATTCTAATATAAATTATTTTATATAAAAAATATAAAATCATGCTTTTATTTTATTAATTCTCAAAAAATTCAAATGAGCACTTTTTGTATTTTATATTTTTGATTTCTACTTCATAAGTAATTCTTCAAAATAAATTTCAACTTAAAGGAGATAAGAACCCATAACTCAAATCTAAATCTTATCTTGGCACCAAACACAAGTTCTTAATTAATGTTGGAAAAGAAATGGCTTTAGGAATAGATCAAACAGAAGCCCAAATTAGTTTAAATTATGAGAATCATCATTATATATAAGAAAATTAATAGAATGCTTTGATTTTCATATTATTGTTAAATAATTTTTACTGTTATTTAGAAATAAAAAAAGGAAGTCAAGGGCTGTAAAAGGACGTAGCAACTGATAATAACGGTGGGGAAGGCGGTTTTTAGACAAAAATGTGAAACGAGTTGAAAGTTGGGAAGCCTAAGTTAAGTTAGGGGCAAGTGGAGGACGGGTGTCGGTATCCATGTCATCATAGGCTACAAAGGAAACTTCCAAGAACCAACCAGCCAACCCAAACCAACCCAACCCATCTTCACCGCTCGTTCACCGTTTACCGCTTTCAAACATGGTCTTCTCCGCCCACTGACTTAAACTCTTATCACCGTCTTCATCGCTTCTCATTACCCACCCAAAGGCAACAATGCTGCAGATTCTCTATTCTTCTTCTTAAAGGTAAAAAGACAAGCTACCTTGGCTGACTTTTTTATTTATTTGTTTTTTGACAGACTGTTCTTGTTGACTTTGGCTCTGGCCTCTTGGGGTTTACAGACTTGTCATTTTTTGTGAAATTTAGTGAATTTTGATGAATGGATGTGGAATTTGGACATCTGAATGTTATGATTTCTTGGGTTTTCAGCTAGGACTGCTCATAAACCTATGATCTTGTTATAAATGTGGTTAGATTCTTAATGCATTTTTTTCTATTTATTTCTTCATTTTTTTCCTGTGGGGGGTGGGGGGGTCTTGTGTTGTAACCAGATTCATGTGTGTGAAGGAATTTAGAGGTACGAAAATTATCTGTTTAATTTTGGTACTTTGGAAATATGTTTCTTTTCTTGAATCATTTAGCAAGAAGCCATTTTCAATGCGAAGATTACTGGCTTACGTAGACTTCTTTTAGTAAAAATGATAAACTGGAAAATCTCATGTAGGTATAGTAAGGAATTTTGATGTTGTAGCTTAATTTGAGGTGTAAATTGATTAGTCAGCATTTGGATTGCTGCGCTTTGAAGCAAGAAGTATTTGAATTAATTTGGATTTAGCAAGAATAGTTTTATCTATCTCCTTTCATTTCTTTTCCTGAAAAGGGTTAGAGAAGTAAGAATAGTTTTTCATTATTTAAAAGCAAATATTAGCTGATATAATGTAGAAAGTGTTGATCTTTTTCTTTTTTCATGGAAAAGTTCTGAGTTTATCCATATAAATGCATGATAGAGGCCCAAAGAAAACAAGGCAAATCAATGGCATACAATTCCATAACCTCTGAATGTCAATAGATTTTGCAATTTGGTTTGCTTCTGAAGCTCTCTGCATATGGAGATGGGGTAGTCATTGAATGCCTCCACGTTCACCTCACATTTGAAATTTGAGCATGGAAATCTTTTCTTACTGACATTTTAATTGTTAATTTATGCTACTTGTGATCACAAGTTGGTTTCTCAATTTGGATATCATTTAGTTTTTAAGTTCCTTCCTCTCCCCATCACTTTAGAAGAGAAATTGGGTGATACTGACTACCAAATGTTGTGTAGCATTCCCTTCCTGTATCCTTATGCTCTTGTAGAATGGAATTTGGGCCCTTCTCTTGTGAAAGGGAAAGAGGTACCACTTTTCTGAAAATGCTGGCTGTTATTTTTATCTTTTTCAATCCTTTTATTTATTTCTAAGTTTTGTATAATATCTGTGAAATTACATGTTTTGCAGTCAGCTTGGGTTCTTAGCTGCATTCATGTTCATATATGTTGGATCTTGCAGAATATCTATAAATTATAGAGCTGATGGGTGGTATAACATCAAAACGATCAGCCACTGCTCAGTCCTCATCTGGAGGATCTAATTCATATTCATGGGATCATCAAAGATATGCACAGCCTTCATATGCCCCATCAAACCAAGACTATTCATGGGATCATCAAAGATATGCACGGCCGTCATATGCTCCATCAAGCCGAGACTATGTTCCTCAGCAGCATTATGCCCCTCCACCTCAAAGCTATGGTGGTCGTGCTCCAGAATCGAACAGGAGGTTGGAGAGAAAATATTCGAAGATAGATGATAACTACAATAGCCTGGAGCAGGTACTGTCGTAGTTCTAGTTTCGCAGTAGTTGGACTGTCATGTATGCAAGACATGTTTAGTCAATCTCTGAATAGCTGAGCATGGTCTCACCAGGAATGTGCTTAGAGACACTCGTTTTCATTATTTAGAGGATGTCTGTGTTATCTTTGTTAAAATAATCATGTAAGTTGTGCACCAACAATAGCAAATAATGAATGGGAGTGCTTGCAATGCTCTTGATCAACTTTGACAAAAAGTTATATAAAACTTCATATTAAAATTGATTCATACTGAAGTTGGCCTTGCTATACGTTTTGACTAGCTAAGGATACCTATTTACATGATGAGTATGACAAATATGTGGATGTTTCTTATGCTGGTAGCATTGTCTGAAAATAGCTGTTGTGGAGATGGATATTGAGCACAGTTTGGTTGAGTCATTTTGCATTGGACATCTCAATTTTGTATTAAGCATTAATGTCTGGATAAGTAGTTGTAAACCACAAATTGTTGACAGCAATATTCATTTCGTTATTCTGACAACTTTTTCCAACTGAGGACAAGTCAGATGTTTGAACCCTGCAAATTTCTTAATAAGCCTATTCCTAGAATTATCATTGATGTTCATTTTGTTTGATATGCTAATTTTCTAGCAAGTCTGTGTTCTGCCTCCTCACTAACAGGTAATATCTGTAACCCAAAGATCATTGGAACAAATGTATGTATAGCAGGGATTTTTTAACTTGTAATTTGAATATGGAATTGATTCCCCATTTTTGTGTTGTTACTTTTTGCTGTACTTGAGTTTTTGTTTAATAGTCATTAACTTATTTGTCAAAACGAATATAGATGATTGTTGTTTTGTTTCACCGTCTGCTGTTTACTGTATAACACAATGCTACGTACGAACGAGCTGTGGTTATTTTGAACCTTTCCTGGGACTGTGTAACACGTGGAAAGGCCATGAATTTATCTACAACTTCTTTGAGAGACTATACATCGTTCTTATGAAACTGAGATATATTTCTTTCATAAATCTGCCAAAAAGAACTTGTAATATTGTAATTAGGTTGGTACCCTCTTAATATGGTAATAAAAACCTGTGATACTCTTCTTTTTCCACAGGTCACTGATGCGCTGGCCCGTGCTGGCTTGGAGTCTTCTAATCTTATTGTTGGTATTGATTTCACAAAGAGCAATGAGTGGACAGGTTTGACCTTGTCTGGATGCATTTAAAGTTTTTTCTTTTGTTACAGTGTAACATCTTTGATGTGTTTTAAATTAGGTGCCAGATCATTCCACCGAAGAAGTCTACATCACATTGGAGATGAGCAGAACCCATATGAACAAGCAATATCCATTATTGGAAAGACATTGTCTTCCTTTGATGAGGATAATTTAATTCCTTGTTTTGGATTTGGAGATGGTATACTTTTTGAAAGATTTTTCAATTGGATTCTTTAGGTTAATTTGTTTGGTAATTGAGATGATATGAGATTCTTTGAGCTGGCAGCATCAACACATGATCAAGAAGTATTCAGCTTCTATCCAGATGAGACATTTTGCAATGGATTTGAAGAAGTGTTGAGACGATACAGAGAATTAGTGCCTAATCTAAGACTTGCAGGTTATACTTCATTTGACTTATTCCTTTTCTTCATTCTTTTGCCAGCCACTGCTTATATAATTTTCTGCATATTTTCCTTCCCCACCCCGCCTACCTGCAATTATTATCTTTGACAGGACCAACATCATTTGCTCCTATTATTGAGATGGCCATCACCATTGTTGAGCAAAGTGGTGGCCAATACCACGTGTTACTGATAATAGCTGATGGGCAGGTAACTTGTCTGCTTTGTGTTGTACAATAACCCATTTACTGTTGAATACGTGGTAAGTCCTATTAAAATAATAATAATAATAATAATAATAATAATAATAATATATTGTTTAGGTACATGGTTCCACATTCCTTCTTCCGTAGTTAATTTGTTAGAGTACTGCATATCAGTTGTAATTAGTCCTAGTATTGAATAACCAAAGCATTAGTCAATTTTTTTTCATCATTTTAACCCCCTTGAATTACAAGACCCCTCTGGCTGATCATTTTATTTTGTGTTATAACTGAGACAAATGGCAAATTTTGAATGAAAAACATTATAGGTGCAATATTCTATTGCTGAAATTTGAACTTTCTTATTCAAAACACATTTGTATGTGAAACCCGTGTGTAGATGTTACAGTACTTTATAACTCAAGAAACAGGCTTCTGAATAAATATCGAAACAGGGAGTGTGTATGGGGACGCTGATGAGGTGTGTACATAAATATCTATTTGGAAATGCTATAGAAACTTATTTTCAAGTGGCCTAAGATTCTAGTGGAATCAAGAGCCAAAGGGAAGTTACCTGTTCCAAGAATAAAAGAATTAAAATTAGCTTTATAAGCCAACAGCTAGTTAGCATGGGTTTTATAGTCAGTCCACGAATCCATAGGTTCCATGTTCTAAGCTGAGTCCCCTATTAACAGAGGATTAGCATTTTTAGTAGAAGCAGATAGAGAAACAAAATCTCATCAATTAGTTACTTAAAAAAGCTGAGATTACACCAAACCTTAGGAAAGAAAATGCCAAAACTCGATATTTATTACTGGCTGTAAGATCAAGACTGAAGTATCAGAATGCTTTGTCGATAGTTTCACAAACTTAGATCGTCTTTTACGCTGAATGGGGCAGGTTACTAGAAGTGTTGATACAGAGCGTGGCCAATTAAGCCCACAAGAAATGAAAACAGTTGAAGCGATTGTGAGAGCAAGGTATTATATGGTTGTTTGTGTTTCAAATGATACTTTCTTTTACATGCAACTTCCTAATATAGTAATTACTTTGCAGTGAGTATCCCTTGTCAATTATATTAGTTGGAGTTGGAGATGGACCATGGGACATGATGAGAGAATTTGATGATAACATTCCTGCTCGTGCCTTTGATAATTTCCAGGCAAGTATGGCTTGTGGACATTATTGTTTTCATATTTGCTTTTTGAAGCTGGTAAGTATACATGTATTAGTCCTATTCACTGTCTAATTTGAAAAGCTGCCTCCTATAGTTTGTGAATTTTACAGAAATAATGTCGAAGAATATGGATAGGTCCAGAAAAGAGGCAGAGTTTGCTCTTGCAGCACTGATGGAAATTCCTTCTCAGTATAAAGCAACACTAGAGCTTAGCATATTGGGGTAATACTAAAAGTATTGTTTTAGTAGGTTTCAAAGGCATTAAGCATTGTTACTGGGGATAACAACCAAATGCAACTTACTTTTTCTTTATTGGTCTAACAGTACTAGCAGGGGCAAGGATATTGATAGGGTTCCTCTTCCCCCTCCTCTGTATGGTGCGGCTTCTTTTAGTAACTCAAAACCTTCACGGTCAAGCAGTTTTCGTCCAACTCCACCTTCTTCTGGTAGACATGATGCACCTGTCAGAACAACTCCTCCTGCAAGTTCTGCTTCAGATAATCATGTACTTTATCTTATCCTAATTGC